GCATGGCGAGCGTTTTTCATCGCCTGAAGAGGCTGTTGAAGCATTTAAATCACTTGTTTTGAAGGTACCTCGCTCAGAATGGTAAAATTGTTTTGAAGATGGGTTTCATCGGATACAAAAGTGTATAGATTTTAAAGGAGAATATTTTGAGAAGCAATAAAGCGATATACATAACGTAATTTGTGTTTTGCTTTACATTTTCCGCGAACTTTGGCAATGTCCCTCGTACGGAATGCTGCTATCAAAAGTTAGGCCTGTTAAATTTATTTTCTTCATAAACTTATATCTCGAAAACTTAATGGAGTGATTTAAAAAATAAAAAATAGTTAAATATAAGCTGAGGACCTTTTTTTAGAAGCTTGCCAAAAATAATTAGTAAGTTTTTTAAGCAACCCTAGCTGTATTCACTTTTCAAAAAGGTGGCAACCCTACCTATTACTGAAACACAGTGTATAAACATAGTATTCATTTCCCACCTCTTCTTCCCAATTAGACTACGACTATGACAACAAGTCGATCGCGACATACAAAGTAGATCTTATATAGGGACCGTGCGTCATGACTTTAACGCTAACTGGTGACAAAAATGTGAACTTTTTGGGGGGTATTTATTAATGTTTTATACGGCATTTATTGTTTAATAATTATTAATAAAATGAAGTCGAATTATTTTCGTAATATCAATATCGAAAAAACTTGTTGCATCCGTGGATGTACAAACACATCACTTTAGAAACCTGGATTTCATTCGATAGTAAAAAAAATTTATAAATTTCCACAGAGCACAATTATGCCTCACACCCAATGATATACATAATTACAAAGATTGCTTATCCATATGTAAATCAGACGACGAAAAGCGTATTTCACCGGGCAAAGTTTTCTTTTTATCTAGCTTGTATCAATTTTGAGCACTTAGTTGTAAAGAAATCATTTACAGAACCGGTTTAGAAATTAGAATCTTTAGTGTTTTCTTGTCATTAAGATTTTTACATATTTAAATGAACATTTTATATAAATATAATTTTACAGATAATGGTTTATTCTGTTGATTAAAACTAATGTAGAATGTTATGAAATAAGAATGTCCAATTTGACAAAAATATCACGGCCCTCTTTACAATTTATTAACTATTTCTCATTTATTATTAAAATAAACAAATCATAAATAATACATTGCAATTACTGTCGAAAGAGATTGTAACAAACTTTAAAATATTAAAAATCCAGTGATTTTTTGTAAATTTTTTTAGTGACATTACCATTAAACATTATTCAGAATAATAGATAAGTGTCCAATTACAACTCTTACCAAAGTTGTATATACCTCATATCAAAATTGTTTACATTACCTTTTCAAAATTGTATTACATATTGCAATTATGTATTTTATGTAGAATTGTTTCTGAAATAGTAGTCTAAAATTATTTATATCCATCTGTTATAAAAATTGTTTAGATCTCTTAATATTATTTAACTACATGAAAACTCAACTTTCCAAATACATAATGACATGTCTTGAAGTAAAACTTTAATTATTTTCTTTTTCTAAAGATTAAAATGCTGAAATTTTATTTTAAAACACATTTGGGCTAGAAGGGCTCTATTTAGTGAGCACTAGGAAAGGCACATTGCAACCCGCTTTTCATAATTTTTTTATAGTTGGGTGAGCAATCTATAATATATGTATCATTGAACATCTCATAAACGCCGATGAATGACATTTCGATTAACATAAAGCTAAAAAGATTTATAATTATTATTATCAATCTTTTTTATTAATTTATTGTAATACTTTTAAATTCAGTGTTACTAAATACCGATATTTTAACATTGGATACACTTGTTTAAGGTACAACTTTACAATTTATTGTCACTTAGCCATTTAAATCTTTTTGCTTAAAATGTATATGCATGTCCAGATTTTAATAATGTTTCACATTTTACGTCATTTTGACCATGTCCACGATTGTTTGGTACGGGCCGGTATCTATTTTTAACTATATTTAATATTTAAAAAAATACTCTTCATTATTTACTTGCAATGTTTACCCCATTTAATTCTAAAATTAAACACTAGAGAGGGCTAAGTTCGGCAGTAGTGCTGCCTCTATATTTCACGCACGGTCCCTATAATGCGTTTTCTAATATTCATCGATGCCATCTAGATTTCATCAAAATTGTTCTTTTGTACATCAAAATTTTTTTAGATTGTCATACATCATTTTTCAGATGGTTGTCACCAAATACATCAACTCGATTATGTTGATGCACTGATGGATCACGTGACATAACCTCAAATTATTAATTAATATTAAACAGATAAGGAAATTGGAATAGTTTGCTTAAAATTCTTAATAATATGAATAAAGAAACTCACTGGGTTTTTTTAAACTAACCTATAAGTGGGCTTACTTTTAAAATAAAATTGTCAGCGTTAGATATACAGCAAGCAAATGAAGGCTGGTACATAATTTTTCAATTATTGTATTGCCCGTACTTGTCTTTAGTTTTTATGCTCATCAAAAAGTCTTCGAATTGTTTGTTTTCATTAAATAAAGGCAGTTTGACAATTAAGATTATAAAATCACAAATGTCCAGTCGTTCTCAAATAATTTTCATCAGATAAAAATCATGATTGCAGCAGTCGGCCATTAATTGGTCACGTGATCCATCATCAGTACATCATTTTGTTGAATATTAGAAAACGCCTATACAGAAAAGTTGGCCATTCCTGCTGTATACACTGTCAAAGTTCTTCATTCTACTTGGCAAACGGCCCACCAAAAAATTAATACCTTTAGGTAAAGGGAATTGCTAATTCCAATGAAACTATAATTGGCACTTTTGAATGGTAATATAAATAAAAAAAAAATGAAAAACTGATGTATTTGAGTTTTGACTTACCCTGTACAGATTTCTTTCAAATTAAAAAAAAGTGTTGCATCGGCATAAAATGTTGATTAATATCGAAACACTTTTACCTTAAAAAAATGTTTTTCAATTGTTTCTTTTGTAGTATACAGGTTTTTAAAATCAATACGATTTTCATATAAAATTGGTTGTAGCAAGAAAAGTACCCTGTATAATTTCATACTATTTGGTCATTGTATAAAGACAATGATTTGGTATTGTTACAATGGAAAAAACGAGGGACAGAAAGTAAGAATTTTTTGAAAAATGTTTGTTGTTTTTTTAGAAATTGTGTCTAAATTTCACGAAACAAAACCCTCTTTAAAATATCACGAGACGTCAGTTGAGTGGAATTTCGGGAGACTTTTGAGTGAGATTTGCTTAATTTGGCCGAAACCTTCTTATTCGGCCAAACCTTACGGCCTTGGTACACAAATAATATCTATTGTATTTTTAATTTGCGTACTTGGTTTAATATCATTTTTATACATTTTACAGTCCTTACTAAATGAAAAATATAAGGAATAACTAGATTTTGGCTTAAAAGGGAAGAATATTAAATTATCTACCACACTATACAAACAATATTTTAAGGCGAAGGCCATGAACTGGTAAATAATATTCTAATGACCTTGTATAATTCAAATCTAAATATATTTTACCAATTGAGTTAACAATAAATCCTACAGATAAAAGATGAATTTCTAAAACGTTTTAACCAAAATTTTACTTTTTTTAAACGTCTCCTATTAATTGCCATTTTGTCATTAAATGGAAAATTTTATTACCAAGTCCAAGCCCAAAAATTGCTTGGGAAGAATGAAAATTTGCTTTCTTTGTACAACGAAAACGCGCTCCGGTGAATTAAAACACAAACTAATAATGTACATCTACAAAACTCGCCTATCTGGCACAAATGCAGCCCAAATGCTTACATGTGAGAGAGAAGGGGATAGCCCAAGCGTTGCAGAGACCGTCCTGAAGCGACCCAACTAAGAGATGAATATGACCTAGCGATTTTTTGTTAAATCTTTCAGTGATCGGCTCTGGACTTATTCCCAGCTATGAGATGCCAATGCAATTTTACAACGATTCAGTGCAAATATATTTCTAAAGCGACTGTAAAATTTCAGTCAAAATGACTGGCTACAAATAACCAATGATTTTAGTTGTAATTTGGCAATTCAGTGTTTTCAGTCTAAAGTCAAACTTTACTTTAAAAATAGAACATCTAATTTTACCTCCAAGTTCAGCAGTATCAACCTGCCAAACAATCAACTTAAATAATAAATATGTTATATGTCATTGTTTTAAATAATGTTGTTTTGTTTTTATTAAGGTTGTTCCTACATCTCCGATTATACACTTACACTATGTGCAATACACCTTTGCCGTATGGGCGCCGCCACCCGTATCAACTATAGCTTGTGGCGTTTTGATCTTGCCTATAAAACTTTCACTTCTGGAAACCTTTTGAACGGCGCTCATGTTTTTCCGCTATTCGAAAAAAGTGCGGGTCTTTTGAATCTAAAAACAACTTTGAATCTATAGCGTTTTCCATTGGTGACACTCAGGCAGTTTCAGCGCAAGATTTGTGTTCCATTGGTAGCACTGTATTAGTTTTCGTTAACCACTGGAAAAGTGGTGTACATAAACATTTTTAGCACGAACTCAAAGTTAGCTGTTTCTTTATATTTTATATTTTTATCATCTTCGACTTGGGACGAAAATTGTATTGAGCTTTTCAAAAGATTAATAAAAACGAGAAATAAAGTTATGAAAAGAGAAACATAAAACAGAAAAATAAGCAGGTGTTTTTTTAAATTATGGCAGTGCATTATTATTGTTATTTTGTTTTATAGTTCAAAATATATTTTACTCTAAACAGGCTGTTAAGATAATTATATCGAGATTTAAAGATTGCTTCCTAAAAATAAGAAATAGAGGAAATAACAAATATTTAGTTATAAATTATTTATTTCTGATATGCTTATGGTGCTATAAAGTTTGCACGAAATTTGAAACTGACTTGATCCATTGACAATGCATTCAATATTTTTGTGCACCAGGATCGGATACCATATAACTTGCTTTAAACTACTATCATCCAGCAACGTACCTTGCTATCCCTGCGCCCTTGGCGAAAATACCTGTACTTCCTATTTCTCTTACTATTTCGAGGGCGTTCACGTCTTTGCTGTACTTGAGGCCTAAATCTTTGGCACAGTTCTCCAAATCAGCAACTGTCCTTTTTTGCAGTGATCGTCCAGATAAAAATCCAAAATCCTCAGATACTTTTGAGTAGGCTTCTAACCTGTTTCTCATTTCCGTTATTAATTTGTCATAAACACAAAAGCACTCTCGTTGGATCTCTTGTTTTTGTAAGACGAGGCAGTTCTCATCCATAGCCACATGTTGATACAGCTTTATGAAGGATGTCATCTACACCATCTTCACGCCGTTTCTGAATTTTCTTCGACAGGTCATTTAAAAGTTTTGGCATAATGTCAAGAGACATGTCTTTGGCTTGAAGTCAATTGATGTCAGTATTATGGACAACATGAAAAAATAATTATTTTATGGTGAATTTTGCGCTCTCCTCCCTCTTGCGCCCTTGGCAGGATCCTCTTTCGCCAACCCCTCGGTACGTCCTTGATCATCAAGTCTCGGCTGGTGTATTTTTGGTACATTTCTATCAAATTATAAACACAAATACACATAATCAAACACAAAAACAAAATGACATTTGCGAATGTGTAGGATTTGCACATGAGCAATAGAGATCATCAGTAAGGAAATAATTGAGTGTTTAGTTTCAAGAATGTATGCACGAATGTATAACCATTTTCATCGTGAAAAACATGATGAATTTACTTGTCACTTCCTTCAAGGATAAATCAATGAAGAACTTTAATCATGAATAAATTTATAGATAAAAAACGCGCCAACATGAAATAAAGTAAATTATAGGTATACATTTAAAGACGATAGAGCTGACCCAATCCGTATAAGCAACGGCCTTATTTTTCCTCCTTTACTGCATAGAAAATGGTAAAAAATAAATAAAAAGAGCAACATCGACGACGACAGACAAAAGCCATATTTTCAGCACCGTTCCAACGAACGTCATATTTTTCGAACTAAAGCGTGTCCCCCCTGGCCCCGTGTGCCGTCATGGCCCCCAAGTTATTTGGACTATGCAGAAACGCTCGTGATTCTTTTATTTATATGCAGCCATATTTCTGAGACGTCGCCTAGCAACCGCTCAGACCCGCTATTTGTCATTTTCCTCCAAAGTTTTTTGTTGCGCATATTTTCCTATACTTTCCACCCGTTTTCACCGCTTCAGAACCTGAGCGTACCCGATGAACGGCAAAGTGAGGCACTGATGAATATTTTTTAATTTTTCTTATCGTCTTATTTCAAGTTGTCTTATATTTTAAAGAAAATGAAGGAACTAAAAAAAATATGTTTAAAGTGAGAAACCATTTAAAACAATATCAGAGACCGAAGAAAATTATGTTATGCCGGATCTCTTTAATTAGGGTTTCTTTGGAAATAATTTTGCTGCATCGAAAAAAGACTACCTGTCAACAGGGAAAAGCAAATCGTCTATCTGTAGAATTTAAAAGAAAAGAAAAACTCCATCCATATCACTGTAATCCTTTCCAAAATTTATTATCTTAAGATTTACCAGCACGCTTACAATTTGCCCAATTACAAGATAACCTAAGAGGAAACCAAAAATTTCTTGATAATATTCTCTTCACGACGACATACGCTTCACGAAGAGTTTTTAATTGTAAAAACAATCGTTTGTGGGATTCTGAGATTCCAAATGGTGTAAGAGAAAGATATTTTCAGCCTGAGTTTAAGGTGATTATTTGGTGTAGTGTGATATTTGGTCTTTTCATTGGTCCTTTTGAACTTCCGTCTAATCTAAATGGACCTATTTAAACTTTCTTTATGTATCGAAGAACATTTAAATGAGCTACTAGAAGATGTTTCACTCGCCGTAAGGCAAAACATGTGGTTATGCAGGATGGGGCGCCACTACAGTATTCTCTGCCTGTGCGTCTATATCATTTTTCCCATCGTTGAATTGGCTGTGGAAGTGGTTTTTTGTTGCCACCAAGGAGTCCCAATTGAAACTCATTGGATTTTTCAATATGGTTAAAAATGAAATAAAGAACAAAATATTTCAATCGACGTGTTGTGGCAAAAAATACAAAAAGCTGTGAATGCAATTAAAGAAAATAGATACGTTTTGTTTAATATTCAAAGGTCTTTAAGAAAGCGCATTGCAAAGTGCATTATTGAGGTAGATGGTGGGCATTTCGAACATTTAATTTAAAATTACTGAGGGACCTCAGTATTGCATTCATGCAGACGAAAAACATTTCTTACCTTAATTTTTTATACTTTTTTTCTCGTTTTCGATCATTCGGAGTCCGAAAATGTCAAAAAAAATTTTTCGTTTGGTCATCTGTGTGTGTATGTATGCTTACCACAACATACTTGGTTACAGTATTGTGATTACTGTGGTGACGTCACACATACAGTGATAACCTTTTATATAATGTCATATGTCAAATTTAATTTAAGTTTGGTGATTTCTAAACGGAATTTGAGGTCAAATTTCGTTTAGCCGAAATCAGTTACGTAAAAATTGTAGCCAAGGCAACCGTTGCCATGGTAACCAGTAAACACAAACCCAAATCTCGTGGTGAGGAAATGCATAGTTACCAAGTTTTAGATCATTTAATGTTTACTTTATTTTAGACGAAATCAGTTATGGTAAAACTGTTGCCATGTGTATGCTTGACATAGTAATGACTTAACAAAACACCAAATCCCGTGGTGAGAAAATGCGTGGTTGTCAAGTTACATATGTGTTAATTTAGCTGTAATCGGTTACGGAGAAACTGTTGCCATAGAGACACTTGTCATGGTAACGACTAAACAAAAACCCAATTCCCGTGTTAAGAAAATGCATAGTTGGCAAGTTACAGGTCATTTAATATTCACTTTAGTGTAGCTGAAGTCGGTTACGGAGAAACCGTTGCCATAGGAACACTTGTCGTGATGTCGACTAAACAAATACCTAAACCGGTGGTGAGGAAATGCGCAGTTACCTCTTATATTTAGATTAACTCTTAACATATTATCTTAATCTAAACTAAAATGAAAATGAAACCATCTATAACTTGGCAACTAGGCATTTTTTCACTACGGGATTTGTTTAGTCGTTAGTATGACAAGCGTTGCAGCAGTTTCTCCATAAGACTGAAGCAAGCGCGCCTGGCGGACGTGCCCTTTTTTCCACCCACATTATAAGATCACGTTACGCTCCTCCCACCCACCTTATAACCAGTAGAGAGAAGGGCGAGCGAAGCGAGCCTGTCTCGCCGACGTTTCGAAATTCACGCAAATTTGATTCATTTCCTTTCATAAAATTTTTTTGCAAACCTATCAGGAATCTAAATATTAGTACGTTACTTTTTATACACTTTGTATATAATTTTCGACATATACCTTAACATTTCAAATTACTTAATAATTGTTAATTAAAAAAAATGTTTAGATAACATGGCCATAGTATTTAAATTTATTACCTACTACTTGCCTATTTATTTACTCCTATAATTTTTAAATTTGTTTAATTATCTCTCTGGGTCAAAATGATATTTTGAATTTAAAAATGTTTGAAAGTCGTAATTTAAAAAAGGGTGTATCGATGTACGTTTTAAATGGGATGACTTAAATGAATCACCCTATAAAGATTATTAATTACACTACTTGGTCTCTGTCGATTTTCTTTAAATTTTAATATATCATTAAATAGGGCAAAAAATATAGCATCGGTGACACAAAATCAAGTAACGCATCATTTTAATATAGGAATTAATCAATACATCAGGTTTGACTATAGTATTCATATTTTATGTACTTATCTGAACAAGAACTTTAATCAATATTAAAATAACCGAAACTAATTTATATTTTCATTATAAATAAAAACTAGGCTGACGTCAAAGAGTGAAAGTGACATACAGAAAGCTAATGCACAATAGGCCCATGTCAAAAAAGCCATTTTATTTACAACCATATATGTAATGTTGTCATTACTAACGTCATTGAAGGTTGGGAAGTGTCACATTACACACCTCTACTTCCCGCCCTCATTTCATCTATTCTAGATGAATATTTTTTATATTTAAAAAAAAATAACACATTGTTTGACAAATTTTATAATACCTATTTAATGGCAAACAATAAAAAACAACAATGATCTAAAATATAACAAACTACTTATTGATATTTATTACTCGCGAATTTAATATCCGGCTTTATCTGACATTTATTTATATTGGTGACAGTTGTTTACCCCGTAATCACAGTAACAATACCTACTTGATTATTCTGAGAAAACCGCGCGCTTGGTAATTTGTCGTTAAAAGTAATATTTTAGGTATGTTCAGAACAAAATAGAGATTTAGTAACTTTGATCGAAATATGATGGTTGTAAATAAAATAGTATACAAACCTCGGTAGAAAGTTTCATTCCTGTCTCGAGATCATAGCTAACCTCGACGCTTCGCGTCTCGGTGATCTAACTAATCTCACGACAGGAATGAAACTCTTCCCACCTCGGTGTGTAATATACTATTACTCAGGTTTACGCTGTTTACAAGTTTCAGTACCAAATTTATATGAATTAATGCAAATAAAAAAGTAGCAAAGAGAAAATGTCAGAGAAAACGAAAATATGATGCAAGTAAGATGTTTTATTGAAAATGTCATGAGAAGAAGAGGATGACTTTAAAGTAATTCAAGGTTTTTCCAGATTACCTCTGGGATAGATATTATTATACTCGTGATTTCAGTTCCTTTTAGTAAAATTTTTCAGAGAGCTGCTGGATTTTTCTGCCGTTGTTAAAGTATAGGCGGAAAAGTTGTTCGCAGGAAAGTTTAAGTGCTTTTTCTTTTCGAGTTCGGCCGTCAAAATAAGTTGAATCGTAAATCTTTTATTTACATAAAAGCGAATGCGACGTCTTCCACTTAATTGTCAATGTAAAAATGGATTTCGTAGAGAATTTATTGAAAACTTTCTTTCCTTTTTCGTTCAAAAGGAAACGTTATTTATAAGTTTAGAATTTTCGTTCCAAGAATTATTTTGGAGAAAAACAAATTTATAAATAAAGCACAAGAGGTTTGATCACCATGATCTACACCTGACCTGACCTATTTTTGACAATTTGATATATTGACAATATTTATTTATTTATTAATAAAACTCAAAGAGTCCTTACGGCCTTTTTACATGAGTAGTACAATACCATGGTATGTACAATACATAATATACATATAGAATATAATCATACATATGTCATTATGACACTTTACATTTTTACTTGTATGAATGGGTTTGAATATCAAGACTACAAAGCTTCACAACAATCAGCAGAAACGGCATACATATTTAAATACTTA